GCTGAGGGTGAAGGTTTGTTGGATGAGGTACTTCATAGTAATTATGTTGCTGTTTAATTATTGATATACTCTTCTAGAACATCAACCTCTTCGCCAAGATTCTGCTCAGGAGCAGCCTGCTGCCGAGACCGTGGATCTGTCACAACTGTGGACAGCACACGATGACATAGCTCTCATTACTGGAGTAACACATGTAAGTTTGAGTATTGTGAGGGTAACGTCTCAACGTTAAAGTGTAAGCAAAGTTTTCTCCCCTCAGTTTCTTTGGAGCCATGCCATTTTTTCAGGTTGAATGAAAGGTAAGTCAAAGTCATTCTGGCTCCAACGTTCATCTTTTTAGGATTATACTAGTAATGGCCCTTATGAAACCTTTTCCGAGAAACTTTTAAAATTTCGATTTTGCTGTATTTTGATTTTTTCGGCAGTCAATATTTTTCATGTGAAAAAGTAAGCCACACTTTTTGTCATTTTCCCATTTGAACTCTTCAATAGATTTCCTGCGTCCTGCCTTTACTAAAAACAGCGGATTTTGAGATTTTTAATAAAACTTGGTTATGCAGCGGAAATGTAACGCGGCATTCGTGTTCTTCAGACTTTCGACTTTCGCCACGTTCATGCTTGCACGCGATTTAGCCAGCCTTTTTCTCTTAATGATATTGAAAACAGGTACGATAGCACCTTTCCAAAAATAAGTTGTGATTATTGGGATTCGCTTTATCCGGATTATTTCGGTACCATATTAACAGGTGGGCCCTGCTGATGTTCGAACCGGAGGTGTCCAGGGAGGCGAGAAAGAGAATGCATGAGGTCCCCTTTCGTGAACTTGTCCATATTCAGGTAAGATACAATTTACTTTGTTCTTGTAAAGCTCTCCGAAGTCAATGGTACCCATGTTGTGGATAGATTTTCTGTTGACAACAAGTAGAAGCAGCCACGAAGTGGTACGGTGCTGGAGCTCTAAATTCAGTTATTGGCACTAAGAACAAATATAGTAATAGCTCAGCTCCATAAGGCTGCGATTGCGGTTACCAGTAAATTCAAAGGCAGTTAGTTAGCTGTCCATTCATGTAATTAGACAAATCGCATGCTTGCATCAACCAGCTCGTAGCAATCATGTCCAGCTGGCACGTTGTCAAAAGTCAGCTTAGTCTTCTTCTTTTTAGAGTCGCACTGCTTTCTCATGGAGAGAAGAGGCCTTATTGAATAGTTTGCAATTGGGCTCATTACCGTGTCCTACTCTTCAAATGGTGGAAGATCTCTTGAGGACATACAGACACGTGTTTCATGTTGCACGCACCCCTCAGCTATTGCTAGATCACTGGCATGTTCTTCACTCGTGAGTTCCACTTTTTGATATTGGTATTTCCTCAAACTTCAATTCCCGTTTGATGGTCTGTTGATTTAATGCAAGAGGTTCGTTCAATTATGTTACGTACGAAATAGTGGGATAGTAGGATAACTGGAAGCACGGCGATTCGTTTGCAGCGTGCGGCGGTTTATACTGAGCTGACTCGCTGCGAGTCACGCCCTGATTGGTTGTTTAGTTGCATGCATTCCGTAACTCCCAACCTCTTGACCAAAAAAAAATATTAGGGCCTTAGTGAAACCTAGTGAAATATTAGTATAGTAATAGTTGATGATACCCAAATGTAGATAGCCTGTTGTCGAACTTGAATAGACGGTAAACGTCTTTTTCGAATTCTCCTAGATAGGAGAGAATGAGGCTGTTCCTTGATTCAAGTCATAAACCTCTAAGGCTTCACAGGCAGTTGTCACCAAATCAAAAGGTGAACGGCTAACACTATGGCCGAAAAGCGAAGGCGGTGTAAGTATTGTCAGATGGTTTTGTTGTAGAACATAGATCTCCCTAATGAATGCGACTTTACAGATACAGCGATGTACCTGCCGAAGGTACAAATCCAGTGGATTGGAAGACGGTGGAGCAGGAAAGCCAGGCGGCGAAACTCGGCCGCGTAAACTTCGACGAGACCCGGGGGCTCAACGCAGCGGCGGCATGCGAGCAGCAGTGCCAAAGACTTGAACGCATCCTCGGGCATACACCTACAACTTTTCTACCACCGATAAACGTGGAATCCGTAAAAGCCACACTTGTGGGACGCGTCATTCGCTATGGGATTCGTAGAGACCGCATCATACTTGGGCGTACTACTCAGTCCAATATTGTCGATTTGGACCTTTCGCGAGAAGGTCCTGCTTCTGACATTTGTTGTAGGCAGGCGGCTATCGAACGTAATAGCGAAACCAATCGGTTCATGA